ATGTACAAATGCGCTTTACACAATTGATGCGTGTATGGATTGGGATAACAGTTGTATGAGCCCCTAATAAAATGTTAAAAAAAAAAAAAAAAGAAAACCTTAAAAAATATGTTCACTAATAAAGAGGATTAAGCAAGGGTAAGATTGTATCCTGAAGGCAGATGTGAGGGATCTGGGAAAACGATGCCTTTGAGTCCCATGTTTCCTTATGTTTTGCTTTCCTTCATGTTTCCTGAGATACCATTTCCGCTTCTTTACCTGGACATTGTCTATGAGTTGCACTATCCAGGCCCTGGGGTGCTTCCATGGATATGTTTGGTAGGGTAAGTCAGTCCCAGTATATTCAGATCCATGGCCCCCTATACCACTTTTTAAGAATGCCGTAACATCTGGAGCTGTCTCCTCTTGCTGATGGGTACAGTTAAGAGGCAGTGGTGTCGGGAATGTGAACCATGAGGCTTGGGACAGTTGTTAGGCTTTCCTTTCGTACTGTCTGGCTGCTCATGAGATTGCCGAACCCTCGAGTTGTGGGGGCATGTGGACCCTAGCTGCGCGATGGTTCCTTGTCTGGTGTACTTGTGGGTAGCTTAGGTTGCTTGTCCTGATATTCGCTGCTGGTCCATACTATGTTCACCCTTATATTGTTGCTAACACTTGCCTTCTCAAGTGTCTACTGATAGGATGCCCCCAAATTCAATTTTTTAAGAAGATGCTCTGGGATTCAAAAAAAGGGAAATTGCTTTATTTTGGACATAACCTCCATCTTTCCTGCAGCAAAGAAACATTTTAGCCAAAATATTTGAAGGATGCCAGAACACAGCAAATGGGAAATAATAAGTAAGCCTATAAGTCATTATTTATCTTTAAATTTCTGGCGTGAAATCAGAATCCTTATATATTTATTCTTTTATTCAAAAACTGAAAAGACATGCCCCTTGCAAAATTATCTGCCTTACCTTTAACATTTGTAATTTATAGAGGTCTTTAGACACTAAGACCATAAGAGTGTCCTCAAATACAGTTAAAGTACTTTGGTATAAAGCCTGGAAAACAAAGCAAAACAAAGAAAAGAAACAAGGAAACAAAAGAGTTACAAGATCAGTCAGTTACACAGACTTGATAAAATCTTACTGAATGTGTACCTGAGTTAGTTTATTGTGCCAACCTGGTTGATAAACACATGTGGGATTAATTGAAGGGTGGAGGGATAAATGGTTCAGTGAGCCTCGCCTTTCTAGTTCTTGGGTCTCTTGCTTTGTGATGGTCGCACCAGGTGCAGCTGCCTTAGCAGTTCCCTGCTTCAGCTTGCAAGGCTGACTTCCTGCAAGACATCCCCAAGGAGAAGCCTCATGAACCTACCCTGATGCAGCCCTGGGTGCTGGAGCAGCCGTGTGGAGACCCATGCCAGCGCTGAGATGCTTACGCATTCACTGATTCATCTTTCCTCCTGCAGTCAGCATTATAGTGTGTGTTTTGTGAGATGGAGGAGGACTTTGTGGATTGGTGTTGGACATATGGGTTAATGTTGGACTTGTGGGCTTGGACAGCACTGGGTTGAGATGTTTTCTTGATGCGCACTTAACCTTTACATAGAACTCTCTCTTTTTTATTTTTTATTTTTTAGAACTCTCTCTTATACATGAGTTTCTGTGGATTTGTTTCTCTAAAGTACCCAGACTAATACAGTACCGTTTTGTGTTCTGGTCTCCTAACTTCTTCCCGTAAACTAAAGGCAAGAAGGAAGAGGTGTCTATGGTAAGGCACCCTCACCCCAGTGTCATTTGACATGAATTGTCTCTGCAGATTCTGGAACAAGCTCATTGACTAGCACTGCTGAGAAAGAAGCGACAACAATGTTGCTATGCTTACTATAGGACTCTTCCTGCTCCCACCTTTCTATGCTCCTAGTTCCTCCTTTCAGCACTTGCTAGTAAATGCCATCAATTATCTCTAAGAAGCATGACAATGATAACTCTGATTCTTACCTGCTGAGGGAAATGCCCTAGTATAAAGTAGGGAGGGATCGCTCTGGTGTATAACAAGTCCTTATCATAATTTCAAGAGGAAACCTCTTACCTCCAGGCTCTCATGGTAATTTTTCTTGTCCTTGATTCCTTTTATTTTGTCCAGGCTTGGCATGTCAGTTACCATTTTAAATGATGATGCTACCAAAGCCAATTGGAATTCAAATTGCATACAGGGATCCACAAAGCTGAAAAGAAACAGTTGTCATTATTTAATTGGGGAGAAAAGAGATGTTTCTCAAGCTTGGTGACTTTTTCTTTGGGATTAAACAATAGGTAAAGGAACTCTGAGTGGAATGGATGACCCTGTGTCAGTAGAACTGTGCTCTGCAGAGATGTCATGGCTGTGACCTTTCAGAGGTAGATCACCAGGCCTTTCTTCTGAGCTGCCTCAGGGTAGATGTGATTTGTCATTGCTTTGGTTATGAGTTGAATGCTTAGCAATGCGCACCACTCAGACACTCATTTTCTTAGTGATAGACAGTGATAGAAAATGAAGTCTACTTTGGGCATTACATGGTATATGGGCTTTAAATAGTCTTTTAAAAATGACAATAGTGTTTTGAAGACAAAAAAATTAAAACCATGTGTTCACTGATTTGGCAATAAAAGTGTATTATTTCTCCACAGAAATACTACTGCCAAGGATGGTTACATTCCCAGCCATGCCCATAAAAACCATGCTAAGCTATCAGCAATTAAGCAATATCACTGCCATTTTTTTCTAATCTATGATATTAAATCTCTAGCATTTTTTTTTCTGATATTGGGAGGCATCTTTATTGGTGGCAAAGTCAATCTTCCCATATCTAGAAAATTAAGTTGTACCAAGATTGTTATTCCATGACAGGTATGACCTGAAAGGAATTGATTGGAAAGAAATCACATTTTCAAGTCTCAGGAAGATTGATTACACTTATTCACGGTATCTCAATGGGTTCACCATGAACCAAAATTGATTACACAGCAAGGAACTAACAGCAGCAATAAATTATCTTTAGATTCTGAACAGCTAGCAACAAAAACTTCCAGTAGAACTTTCAGTAGAAATTTTTAACTTTTATGAATATGTGATTCAATTTTGAAAAATTAACATTTTCATGAGATAAAAATAGTATCTTTCCAAATACTTTTGTGGTCATCTTATCAATATATAAGCCACCGACATCATAAAGGTTATGAAGCAGGATGAGGAAAGTAATGTGTCCCTCTGAAGCCAGCACAACTGCTGACAACCAAAGAATCTTGAAACTTTAAACATTGAAACGAAGAATCAGACTTTGGTTACGATATGAATGTAGATAGTTACATTTAAATCTATGGGTAAACATGGCCCAGATTAATATGAAACTGCGGTAATTACATAAACTGTTGTCAATTTGGGTAGTAAGGGTGAAGGGGTGGAGTTTATCCTGTCAACCAGGTCACAGCTTGATGACCTCATTTGGAGGCACTGAGGAGATAAACAGCTCGCTGGAGGAGGGACACACACACACTCCTTGGGAGACATTGCAGCTGACAAGGCCCATAGAGCTATGCAAATGCCCTGAGCTGGAAGAGCCACATGGAGACCCCGGTCAGAGCTGAGATGCTTATACCGCCACTGGATCCACAAGACCTTCTACCCACTGCCCTGTGATCTTCCTGCATTTGGCATCATTGCATGTGTTTTGTGAGTCTGAAGAGGACTCACAAAAAATTGGTATAGATTGGTATCAGACACATGGGCAAATATCGGACTTATGGACTTGATCTGGACTGGGATGGGATGTCTTCTCAATAGTCAATATTCTCAATATTCAATTGCTCTTGTATATAAAGCTCTTTCTTATACATATATGTTTAAATTTTATACATGTCATCATGCTTTTTTTTGTAATTTGTTATTCCTATTACATTTTTAAATATATAAAATCATTGAAAAAAAGAGAGGCAGAATTCCAGCCTATCATACCTGGAGTTCATGGCCAAGATTATGGATTGATGACTTAATAGACCTGAGTATGCATCTAATAGTGCAGCATATACATATTCCTGTAAGTAATAGCAAAGCAAAGAGTCAATGATTGCAGATCTAAGACTCATTACATGTCACTCTTCATCTTATTAAAGTTGAAGGGAACCACATAGAACCAGAAAATTAGTCTGGGTTTCTAGAAATGCTGAGATTAAACAGATTGTAATTTAAATCCAGGACAATAGCTTGGTCTACATGGTGACCTTTTACACCCAATAACCCAACATGGCCCCGAAGAATTCTAAAAGGAGTACTTTTTACCATGTGCTCTTTTGTCAGTTATTACTTAAAACTGGCTACATTCCCACTATAGAATATGAACCACATACTGTACAACCGACTGAAATAATAATTTTACCTTATAATTTTCATAATTAATAGTATTTTATTAAAAGTTCACAAACTGGAGAACTGGGACATGCTTATTACAATGATCTCTTTCTTTATGTGTACCTCACTCTTGTTTCATGTAAGCCCATGTTGCTGTTTATGCCAATAATCAGTCTCTATTTCCAGAATAACTCAGAGTTTCCTTTTAGGTGCCACTAAGTAATAATAAGAAGCCTTGGTGGCATAAGTGGGTTACTCATTGCACTGCTAACAATAAGGTCAGCAGTTCAAAACCACCAGCCCTTCTTTAATCCTGTAATGACTGACAGACTCAGAAACCCCCAAAGGTCAGTCTGTCCTGGTCTCCGAGTCACTAGAAAGCTGAATTGACTCGATGGCAGTGAGCTGAGAAGCAATTAGTCTCTGGGTGGGTGCGCACATGACTACCCTGTCCTACAGGGTCATTATGAGGGAGAAAATAGAGTGCCTCAGATATAGTTAGGTTAAAATTTAACACCATTTGTTTTCCCTTTTGGCCCACTTTTAACTTGATCTAGTTTTTTTTGTGTTTTTTTTTGCTTTCTGCTTTCTTGGAGATTGAAGTTTACTGTGTTTTTTTAGTTCTTGCTTAAAGATTTTTGCTGTTGCTTTGGTATAATTCTCATTTAATGCTATCTAATGCCAAAAGCCAGCCCACATTGATAAGCAATAAGGGTTGTCTAATATATATGTTGCTTCTCTAGTTGTGTCAGTCTGGGAACATATAAGAATTCATTAGCCAGGGATTTCAACTGTTTCTACAACTAGGCAATTTTTTATTTTTCAGAATATGTAACATGGCCACCAGTGTTCCTAGGAAGTGCCTCATCTAGAGGGGTATGATCATAATTCTGATTTAACTTGTAGTATCTGGATAAATTACATTTTATTTAATCTTTAAATACACTTTCCTCATTGTAGAAGGAACCTTGCTGATGTAATGGTTAAGTACTTCATTGTTAACCTAAAATGGTGGCTTAAACTTACCCAGGAGCATTTGTAGCATAGTGGTTACATGTTAGGCTGTTAACTGCAAGGGCAGCAGTTTGAAGCCACAAACTGTTTCTTTGGAGGAAAAGGAAGATTTCTCCTCCCATAAAGAGTTACAGTCTTAAGAACCTGCAGGGGTAATCCTACCTCGTTCGATAGGGTTGCTATGAGTCAGAATGACTCCATAGTAGTGATTTGGGATTTTCTTAGATTTGCTTTGTTTTGTTGAGTGGTTGCAAGGGAGAAAAGACATGGTGATCTGCTTCCATAAATCCTCTGGGACAGTTCTACTTATTAACATAGGGTTCTTCTGTAGGATCACTGAAAGTCAGAATCTATCCCCCAGGCTACAGCAGCAGCAACACATTGCTATGGAACTTCATTAGAAACCCTCGGTGAATGATCCAATGGCCTCATCCAGAAAATCTATACTTTTGTGATCTGTTTCATAATGTTGGATTCTAAGACCAGCCTGGTAGAGCTTAAGCATCTATTTATAGCAATTATTTTGGCTTCTTTCTCTAAGTCAGCCATCTGCTCTTTATATATATTGTATATCATTGTCACATCTGTTCAATATCTGTTGTCATTCTTGGCCAGAAAAAATTGGAGCTAGCCAATTTAGGTTTTTAATTTCTGATGTTTCAAATCACATATGACGCAACTTTTAAAAGTTCATTTTTTAAAAAAAATCCATTATCTTTTAATTCTGTTTTTCCATGAACTTTTTGAAGCTACCTTGGACAAAGTGTGTTTCTGATACCACTTTGGCTGGGGGTAAAAGGATAATAAAATGTACTAAAAGCAATTTAAAAAAAATTAAGGAATTTGAACTTCTCTCAATTTTAGGAATACCCAAAGGAAGCCCACAAAGTGGCCCTCGAGGCCACTCTGCTGGTCCTCAGTTTTCTTTGCTTCTAGATCACTAAAATGTCTTCATTCTCTGACAATTTCAAAATACCAAAACTGAAGAGAGGCATGGCCTCCACACTAAGAGCAAGAATATCCAATTTTCTGACCTAGAAGACTTTCTGTCTGTGCCGGTGCTTACTGAAGGCAGAGACACTTTGCCAATGCTCCCCATGGCTACCAATCCTTCCAACGTCAGATACTGAGAAAGGTGAACGCTATGCCTAGAATAAATGCCATCTATTCTCATAAATCTAAAATGTTCTTTTTAGTGACTGCAGAAGTTACCAGAACCAATGTATCTGCCCTTTACACTCTCATTAATTTAGTTATTTCCTTTTATAAAAAAATTACTGGAAGTTACTGTGCTGTGTATACAATTGTCCCCACCTCTGTCAATGCATCATTACCTTTAAACCGATATGTGCCTCAGCTCTTTCTTTAGAAAGTTCCTTCCCAAGAGGATGTTCACACAAACATCTTCAAATACTCCTAACTGCTCTTTTCACTGATTTTTCAAGGGTTTAGGGAGGTAGAATCTACAGATCAGAAAGTCAACATACTATTTCAAATGTTTTGCTCCAGGCCATTCTATAAATTTGGCCAACAAGCCACACCATGATCTACTCCTGTTTCAAATTATCCTCAAACTTACCATTATCCTACTGTTTAACAGAGACTTTATATTGTTAATTTCCTAAATCTTTACAGCTAAATTTAAAGTCCCAATCAGATGAACATTCTTTGTTTATTCCCATAGAAAAACTAGTATCAAACTATATACCAAATATCTTCAGCTTCTTAATTTGTACTTCTTGCTCAGTCCAAAATAGGGAGTCTCTCAAATAGATCTTTTGGAACCTGGTTATTTTCCTAGGAGGAGACATTTAGAACATCTTCCATGACTGGTATGGGTATTTCCTTCAGTATTTTCGAGATTGCATTAATCCCTAGCTTTTTCATGAGTCCCACTTACCTAAAGTTCCAGAAAATCTAGTGTACACATAAATGATCATTTACTCCATTCCCCACATAACTTGGAAAATGTATGGAAGTTTCAAACCCCAAGATGGCCTTCAGAACAGGGCATCAGTTAAGCACTAAATGCATCATATTGTTCTTATGGTGCCCAAAACAAATATATTAGACCATCTGGAGTCATATAACTATTTTCAACACCAAAGGTATTTATTGCCAGAGAGATGAGTATAATATGAAATGGTGAAAAAGGGAAAAAGTAGACAGATTCCTGACTTTGAATGATCTGGGAGACTAGGGAGGCTCATAATTTTTAAATGGAATTCTTCACCAGAAAAGTCACCAATCAAGACCACAATAGCAGAAGTTGGAAACACCCTAAATTCCCATCTGTAGAAGAGTGGATAAAAAAAATTCGGAATACAAAAGTATATAAAACAAATAATTCACCATGACCAAGTGGGATTCATACCAGGGATGCAGGGATGGTTCAACATATGAAAGACCATTATATTATTCATCACATTGACATGAAAAATTATAAGAACCACATGATAATATCGATAGATGCAGAAAAAGCATTTGACAACATCCAACACCAATTCCTGTTTAAGACACTTGAGAAGCTAGGAATGGAAGGAAAAGTCCTCAAGACAATACAAGCTATATATGAAAAACCAACAGCCAACGTGGTAGTCAATGGAGAAAAGACTAACACAATCCCACTGAAAAAGGGGACCAGACAAGGATCCCCTTTGTCCCCACTCTTATTTAATATCATGCTGGATGTTTTAGCTAACAGCATAAGGCAAAGAAAAGACATCAAAGGCATTCGCCTGGGGAAGGAAGAGGTGAAACTATCGTTATTTGCAGATGATATGATTTTATATATGGAAAATCCCAAAAGTTCCACAAGGGGAATACTGGAAGCAATAGAGGAGTTTGGCAGAGTGGCAGGATACAAGATCAACAAAGAAGTCCATCGGACTGTCATGCACATCGGATGAGACCACAGAAGAGGAGATAAAAAAGGTGGCACCCTTCACAATAGCCAGACACAAATTGAAACATCTAGGGATACACCTGACTAAGAGAACAAAAGATTTATATGGGGAAAATTACAGAACACTATTACAAGAAACCCAGAACGACCTCAACAAATGGAAGACTATCCCATGCTCGTGGATTAGAAGACTCAATATAGTCAAGATGTCAGTTCTGCCAAAGGCACTATATCAATTTAATGCAATCCCAATACAATTACCCTCATCCTTCTCCAAAAATAAGGAAAAACTGATTACCAACTTCATATGGAGAGGGAAGACGCCCCCAAATAGCAGAGAACTCCTCAAGAAGGACACAGTGGGAGGGTTTGCGCTACCTGACTTTAGCACATACTATACAGACCCAGTTGTCAAAATCGCATGGTATTGGTACAATGACAGATACTCAGACCAATGGAAAAGAACTGAAAACCCAGAAATAAAATCATCAGCATACAGACTACTGATCTTTGATAAGGGTCCAGAAAATATCCAATTGGAAGCAGATGCCCTCTTTAGCAAGTGGTGCTGGGGGAAAAAATGGATATTTACCTGCAGAAAAATGAAACAAGACCCTTATCTCACTCCATGCACAAGAGGAAACTCAATGTGGATCACAGACCTTGAAGTTAAACCCCAAACTATTAGGGCCATCAATGAGGGAATTGGGACAAACTTGAGAACTTTGGCACAGGGAATACTTAGGCTATCAGAAATAGGGAAGGGCACAAACACAGAAGAGGCACAAATAGACAAATGGGATATACTGAAGATAAAACACCTGTGTACACTGAAAGAATTCACCGAGAGTAATGAGAGCCTTTGGACTGGGAAAACATCTTTAGCAGTGACACATCAGAAAAAAGCCTTGTTAATAAAATCTACAATACTCTGCTAGCTTCCAAAAAGAAAAAAACTAATTGCCTACTGAGGAAGTGGGCAAAGGACTTGAACAGAAGTTTCACGGGGCAGAAATCTGAATGGCCAACAAACATATGAGAAAATGTTCCCGATATTTAGCCATAAGAGAAATGCAAATTAAAACAACAATGAGGTACCATCTAACACCCTCAAATATAGGCCAATTCAAAAAATCAGAAAGTAACAAGGGTTGGAAGGGCTGTGGGGAGATAGGAACTCTCATCCACTGCTGGTGGACCTGTAAGTATGTACAGCCACTATGGAAATTGATTTGGCGATACCTAAAACAGATGGAGATGGAATTACCATATGACCCAGCAACCCACCTACTGGGCATATACCCAGAATAGGCAAGAAACAAACATGGCCAGACATCTCTACTCCAATGTTCATTGTGGCACAATTCACAATTTCAAGGAGTTGGAAACAATGAAAATTTCCATCAACAGACGAATGGATTACAAAACTGTGGTACAACCATACAATGGAGTACTACGCATCCCCCAAAAGCAGTGATGAATGCATGAAGCACATTGCCACATGGGAAGAACTGGAGGAAATTATACTAAGTGAAGTAAGCCAAGCACAAAAGCCAAGACAAGTACAACATAAGTCTGCTGAGGTAAGCTTAAAAATGCAAAAGGGGCATAGGGAAAAAGTACTGTATACAAACATTCTTCCGGTGAGGTCCAGGTAGTATGGCAGGGGTCAGACCAAATCTAGGGATACATATGGTAGCCAACTGAAAAGGAGGTGGGGGACGGGTAGAAAAATACATGAGTAGTGGTGGAACAGGGCACTAACCCACCCAAGGGAAAGGTATTGTTTATATCTCCACAAGGAAAGAGGGACCAGACTTCAACCTGGTTCTCCAAGACGTGAATGCAACATACTGGCAGGAATCAGGGAACAAATAGAGAGGTGTAAGGGGCTGGCCCCAATCCCCACTATGAGGACAGCCCCACTCCCTGCAGAAGAATTCACTTCAGAGGACAGCACTGAAGTTACAGTTCAGGGAGAGGGACATGTCTGATCAGAGCACACAGGAGAAAATGAAGGGGGAGGAAGAGAGAGTGGAACACATCCTAGCCCACCAAACACTGAGGACGATATTCCTGCTCAGAGTAGCCAAAGCACAGAGAGGACCACAGGGTTGGCCCCACTATAAGACATGACATCCCTCACTGCCCCATAGCAATATGGGGTACAACACTGGAGACACACTGCGGGAATTGTGCAAGATCTCACCCCACCACACTGAGGTGAAACACTAAGGGTGTGCAACAGAACAGCAAGGGGAGCAGAACAACAAAGTCCCCAGGGAATACCGAAAATAGACTATGGGGCCAAGGTGTGGCACCCCTTCAGACTCAACCGGAAAACACTCCTAAAGGTCAATAAACAGACCTGGAACTATTTACAGGCTTTTCTTTATTTTGTTGGGTTTTTGTTATTGTTGTTTTGTTGTCTTTTGTTGCTTTGTTTTGCTCTGTCTTGTTTTTTGTGTGCATATTATTATCTCTGCAGGACTATCTAGATAAGATAGGTGGGATAAACAATCTGGTGGAGAAAACAACAGGACCAACAGTTCTGGGGGGACATGGGAGAGGGGGAGGCGGGGGAAAGTTAGAGGGTGTGTACAAAGGACAAGGGAACAACAAGTGATCCAAATAAATGGCAAGGAGGGTGTAGGAGGCCTGGTAGGGCTTGATCAAGGGCAATGTAACCAAGAGGAATTACTGAAACCCAAATGAAGGCTGAACATGATAGTGGGACAAGAGGAAAGTAAAAGGAAATAGGGGAAGGAACTAGGAGGCAAAGGACATTTATAGATGCCAAAATACAAGCATGTACATATGTAAATATATTTATCTATGATATTGGGGAAATAGATCTATGTGCATATATTTATAGGTTTAGGATTAAGGTAGCAGATGGACATTGGGCCTCTACCCAAGTACCCCCTCAACGCAAGAACACCTTGTTCTATTAACCTAGCATTCCATGATGCTCACCTTCCCAACATGATCACTGAAGACAAGGCAGGTGCATAGCAAATGTGGTGAAGAAAGCGGATGGTGCCTGGCTATCAAAAGATATAGCATCTGGTGTCTTAAAGGCTTGAAGATAAACAAGTGGCCATCTAGCTCAGAAGCAACAAAGCCCACATGGTAGAAGCACACCAGCTTGTGTGATCATGACGTGTTGATAGGATCAGGTATCAGGCACGAAA